CTACTCTTGTAGTTCGTGTTTTTAAGAATGTTGTTGCGAATGCACTTTTGTGCATGTTTTTTTACATGTACGTTTGTGCATGTCCATTTGAGCGAGTGTGTTTGTGCATGTTTGTTGATTTGTATTAATGTCCTAGGATTGTAGTTTGTGTTTTCATGATCCTTTTTGCGTGAGTACTTTTGTGCATGCTTTTGTACTTTTACTTACGTGAGTATCTTTTCTAGCGAGTGTTTTTGTGCACGTTTCTTGATGTGCATTCATGTCCACGAATTGTAGCACGTATTTTCATCATCGCTTTTGGAATCCAATTTTGACCAAATTTGAGTCCGAATTTGGAAATTTGATGTTAGACAGGAATTGTAGCCAGCTGATATAGCTTTGTAATGCCGCCGCAACCAGTTGGTTTGGAGTCCGGATAAGAAAGTTATGCTCGACTTCGTGGACACTACCAAAGATGTTGAGGGATCCTTTCTTCTAATTTGATTTTATTTTCCTAATTGCAACTCTTTTCTTAATCTTTGATCATTTTTGCTTCATGGACACCTAATTATCGATTAGTACCTATAAGGTACTAAATCCACCAATTACAACAGAAATACAAATTAATCCAAAAAAAAAATCCACGTAAACGTAAACCTATAGTGTTATTTCTACACTCCACTGTATCTTTTGTATCTAGTGTTTTTGCTGTTGTTTTGTAATGCATATTAAAGTCCTAGTGTTGTAGTTCGTGTTTTTAAGAACGTTGCTGCGAATGCACTTTTGCGCATGTTTTTTTACATGTACGTTTGTGCATGTCCATTTGAGCGAGTGTGTTTGGGCATGTTTGTTGATTTGTATTAATGTCCTAGGATTGTAGTTTGTGTTTTCATGATCATTTTTGCGAATGCACTTTGGCGTGAGTACTTTTGTGCATGCTTTTGTACTTTTACTTATATGCGTATCCTTTCTAGTGAGTGTTTTTGTGCATGTTTCATGATGCGCATTCATGTCCTCAAACTGTAGTACATATTTTCATGATCGCTTTTGGAATCCCATTTTGTCCTTGTTCGAGTCCGAATTTCGAAATTTGAGGCAAAACAGGAACTGTAGCCAGCTGAAATAGCTTTCTAGTGCCGCCGGAACCAGTTGATTCGGAGTCCGGATGAGAATATGCTCGACTTCGTGGACACTACCCAAGATGTTGCGGGATCCTCTCTTCTAATTTGATTTTATTTTCTTAATTGCAACTCTTTTCTTACTCTTTGATCATTTTTGCTTCATGGACACCTAATTATCGATTTGTACCTATAACATACTATATCCACCAATTAAAAAAGAAATGTAAATTAATCCAAAAAAAAATCCACGTAAACGTAAACGTAGAGTGTTATTTCTACACTCCAATGTATCTTCGGTATCTAGTGTTTTTGCTGTTGTTTGGCTATGCGTATTAAAGTCCTACTGTTGTAGTTTGTGTCTTTAAAAACGTTGTTGCGAATGCACTTTGGCGCATGTTCTTTTAGATGTACGTTTGTGCATGTCCATTTGAGCGAGTGTGTTTGTGCATGTTTGTTGATTTGTATTAATGTCCTAGGATTGTAGTTTGTGTTTTCATGATCCTTTTTGCGTGAGTACTTTTGTGCATGCTTTTGTACTTTCACTTACGTGAGTATCTTTTCTAGCTAGTGTTTTTGTGCACGTTTCTTGATGCGCATTCATGTCCTCGAACTGTAGCATGTATTTTCATGATCGCTTTTGGAATCCAATTTTGACCATGTTCGAGTCCGAATTTGGAAATTTGACGTGAGACAAAAATTGTAGCCAGCTGAAATAGCTTTCTAATGCCGGCGGAAGCAGTTGATTTGTTGTCCGGATGAGAAAGTTATGCTCGACTTTGTGGACACTACCAAAGATGTTGAGGTATCCCTTCTTGTAATTTGATTTTATTTTCCTAATTGCAACTCTTTTCTTACTCTTTGATCATTTTTGCTTCATGGACACCTAATTATCGATTAGTACCTATAAGATACTAAATCCACCAATTACAACAGAAATATAAATTAATCCAAAAACAAATCCACGTAAACGTAAACCTAGAGTGTTATTTCTACACTCCACTGTATCTTTTGTATCTAGTGTTTTTTCTGTTGTTTTGTTATGCATATTAAAGTCCTAGTGTTGTAGTTCGTGGTTTTAAGAACGTTGCTGCGAATGCACTTTTGCGCATGTTTTTTTACATGTACGTTTGTGCATGTCCATTTGAGCGACTGTGTTTGGGCATGTTTGTTGATTTGTATTAATATCCTAGGATTGTAGTTTGTGTTTTCATGATCCTTTTTGCGAATGCACTTTGGTGAGAGTACTTTTGTGCATGCTTTTGTACTTTTACTTATGTGCGTATCTTTTCTACTGAGTGTTTTTGTGCATGTTTGGTGATGCGCATTCATGTCCTCGAACTGTAGCACGTATTTTCATGATCGCTTTTGGACTCCAATTTTGACCATGTTCGTGTCCGAATATGAAAATTTGACGTTAGACATAAATTGTAGCCAACTGAAATAGCGGTCTAATGCCGCCAGAACTGGTTCATTTGGAGTCCGGATGAGTAAGTTATGCTCGACTTCGTGGACACTACCAAAGATGTTGAGGGATCCTCTTTTCTAATTTGATTTTATTTTCCTAATTGCAACTCTTTTCTTACTCTTTGATTATTTTTGCTTCATGGACACCTAATTATCGATTTGTACCTATAAGATACTAAATCCACCAATTAAAACAGAAATATAAATTAATAAAAAAAAAATAATCCACGTAAACGTAAACGTAGAGTGTTATTTCTACACTTCACTGTATCTTTTGTATCTAGTGTTTTTGCTGTTGTTTAGTTATGCATATTAAAGTCCTAGTGTTGTAGTTCGTATTTTAAGAACGTTGTTGCGGATGCACTTTTGCGCATGTTTTTTTACATGTACGTTTGTGCATGTCCTTTTGTGCGAGTGTGTTTGTGCATGTTTGTTGATTTGTATTAATGCCCTAGAATTGTAGTTTTTGTTTTCATGATCCTTTTTGCAAATGCACTTTTTTATGAGGTTCCAACCAAGGGTTGGCAAGATGATCCTATCCAAGTCCCAACCGGACCAGTAACAAGGAGCCGAGCTAAGCAATTCAAGGAGAAACTTGCTGCATTGATCCAAAATGTCTTAACTAAGAAAGCTTCTTTCAGTGGTGATAAACAAGAGTGGATTATGAATATTTAAGTGGCGGAGTCACCGGACAAGTGTGGGAACCATCCGGCCTAATGATCTTTCCAAGTTGTGCAAATAAGAGCAAGCAGGATGAAGACCAAAGCCCACCCTACCTTACATCCGTGGTTCATCTCTAATCAGCTCATATTAGTGTGTTTATGGGCCTATTCTATTAAGGCCCTCTTTAATTTCGTGGCTCACTTGTTTAGAGCCTTTATTAAGTAGATTTGCAGTTTTATTTTTCTTTCTTGAAGACTATGTTTTGGGGGCTATATATATGCCTTCTTATTCATGTGAAAGATAGCTTTTGATCATTAATTAAATTGTGAGATTATTCTCTCTAGTTCTTTAAGAACTCTTCGAACATATCGGAGGATTCCGTCCGTTCACCCGACTTATCAATCAATCTTCCACAATTGATTGTGGCGTCTTAACATACCAAGGTTCTTGTCTCTTTATAGACAACGGGTCACGGTTCCACCCCCCTTTTGATTCTTTCTTGTGGACGGTCCATGAGTTGATAACCGAAGTATTTTTATCGGGTCTCGTCACATGGTTGGCGTGGTTCATATCATGTGGTAATCAGAGCCAACTTCCAAGAAGGTTTCGTCTATCCTTTGAGTCTTTTGTTGTTTTTGTTTCGTTTCTTTCCATATTCCATATCTTCCTTCCTTCTAGTGTCATCTTTTCTTTTTTTTTTTTTGTTTCCGTCATCACATCTATTCTTGAGTCATTAAATTCGTCCAGTATCTTGTTCATCTTGTGTCTATTGTCAAAAAAAAAAAATTCTGAATAAAAAATGAAAGAAAAATCCGAAAAAAAAGGAAAAGATGCAAAAATCGAAATTATTTGAAAGGAATAAATTCCTTGTTGGTATTATAAGTAGATGGAAAGCATTCGAATACTTCATCTTAAGTTAGGAAGGGTAGATTTTGTTTCCTACCCTCGGGATCCTTGAATATCTTGTCTTCTACTCCATATTTACTTCCTTCCTACACTCTTTTGTTTCCTATAATATTAATTTCGAAATTCAAACAAAATAAATTACTCGTGACTATCCAAAGGTCATTAAATTTTGCTCATATTCTATTTCGATTCAAGCTCATCGTTCATCTTCTATATCAATTCCTGATAATTCGCGGTGAACTGTTGCTGAAAATTCTGATATTTGTTTGGTGAGTTTGATTGGGACTATTGAGAATTTGAGAGGAAAAATGCATGAGTGGTGAGTTCATCAGAGGGTAAAAGCCAAAATTGATTGTGTACAAACACGAGTGAACTTGAGCGATATCCTTTTATTGAGTGAAACACGTAAGGGAGTGTTGTGTGAGGTCCGTAATTTCTTTCTAACATTGTTTTGCAGGAATCATGTCTAACAATCAAACAAATTTAGAAAACACACATAGGGAGGTTGATCCAAAGTTTATGATGGAGGCGTTGATGAGTGAGATGAAAAGATTCGTGAGGGAAGAGATGGAGCAGATTCATGAGCGGATGGATCAAATGGAAAACTGACGGCAAGAGTTTCCCCAAACCACTCCTAACGTGCAAAGGAGAGGACAAGCTCCACTTCGAGAGGCTAGGGCAGAAGAGGATGAGTATTACAGTGATGAATTCGATGACCAACATTCCGTTGTTGTAACTCGAATGTTTAGAGCAAGGGTTTGCGATGCCCGAAACCGTGAGGATAACGATTTGGGAAACATAAAGGTGAATATACCATCATTTCACGGCAGAAACGATCCTGAAGCTTACATTGAGTGGGAGTGAAAGATGGAGCTGTTGTTTGATTGTCACAATTACTCGGAACACAAGAAGGTGAAGTTGGCAGCGATTGAATTCTCCAATTATGTCATCATTTGGTGGGATCAATTGGTGCTAAATAGGAGGAGAAATAGGGAGAATCCAGAGGCAACTTGGGACGAGATGAAAACCCTAATGAGAAAGCGGTTCGTGCCAAGTTACTACTTCCGAGAGTTGTATCAAAAGCTACAAAATTTGAAGCAAGGAAATCGGAGTGTTGAAGAGTACTTTAAGGAGATGGAAATTTCAATGATCCGAGTAAATATTGAGGAGGATCGGGAGGCTAGTATGGCAAGGTTCTTGGCAGGGCTGAATAGAGAGATTGCTAACGTAGTGGAGTTGCAACACTATGTTGAGATGGAGAACATGGTACACATGGCCATCAAGATTGAGAATCAGCTCAAGTGGAGGGGTAACAATCCACGATCAGCCCCTAGTTCGAATTCATCTTGGAGGCATAATGTTGTTAGCACAGATGGGAGACCGGCTATGACTAAACCCAAATTCGAGCCAAAGCAAAACACTACCAACCATGCAGTCCAAGGTAAAATCGTTTCTAATACAACTCGGAATCGTGATATAGAGTGTTTTAAATGCCATGGCAGGGGTCACAAAGCAATCCAATGTTCAAACAAGAGAGTTATGTTGTTGCGTGATGATGGTGGGTTTGAGACCGAAGAAGAGGAGGATTCCACACCACCACAAGAGGATGATGGAGAACAAGAATATGCAGCACATGGTGAACTATTGGTTGTAAGGAGAGCTCCAAACGTGCAAGCAAAGGGAGATGAAGAAGCACAACGAGAAAACATCTTCTACACTAGATGTCATGTTCGAGACAATGTGTGTAGTATGATCATTGATGGAGGGAGTTGCACCAATCTTGCTAGCACTACGATGGTGGAGAAGTTAGGGCTGCCTACAACCAAACATCCACAACCATATAAGCTGCAATGGCTTAATGATAGTGGAGAATTGAGGGTAAACAAGCAAGTGTTAGTATCATTTCGCATTGGAAAGTATGAAGATGAGGTACTATGTGATGTTGTTCCGTTGCAAGCTGGACACTTGTTACTTGGTCGACTGTGGCAATCTGATCGACGGGCCAAGCATGATGGTTTCACCAACAAGTACTCATTTGCGTTCAACTATAGAACAATCACTCTAGTTCCTTTAACGCCACAGCAGGTCCATGAGGATCAAGTGAGGTTACAAAAAGAGAGTGATCAAAAGAAAATGAGTGACAGTACAAAAGAGAGAGAGAGTGAGGCTGAGAAAAACATGAGAGAAAAAAAAAAGTGAGTTTGTCCAATGAGAGAAAAGAAGAGGGAAAAACAAGTATATATGAGAGGGCGAGTGATGTGAAGAGAGCTATGCGTTCGAATCAGCCGATGATTCTACTTATGTACACGGAGGCCTTTTTTAACACTAACAACGTTAACTCTTCTTTGTCTAGTTCTGTTGTTTCTCTTTTGCAGGACTTTGATGATGTATTCCCAGAGGAGCTACCACCGGGCTTGCCACTAATTCGAGTCATTGAACATCAAATTGATTTTGTGCCAGGAGCTTCTATTCCAAACCGACCAGCCTACCGAAGCAATCCCGAAGAGACTAAAGAGATACAAAGGCAGGTCAACGAGTTGATGGAAAGAGGGCACGTGAGGGAGAGCATGAGTCCGTGTGCTGTTCCGGTGCATTTGGTGCCTAAGGCAGATGGAAAGTGGAGAATGTGTGTTGATTGTCGAGCAATCAACAATATAACGGTAAGGTATCGTCATCCTATTCCACGCTTAGATGATATGTTAGAGGAATTGCATGGTGCTTGTGTGGTTTAAAAAATTTATTTGAAAAGTGGGTATCATCAAATAAGAATGAGAGAGGCTGATTTACTTGCTCTACCAAATTTTGCGAAAACATTCGAGATCGAGTTCAATGCTTCCGGAGTAGGCATAGGCGCTGTTTTGATGCAAGAGGGACAACCGATTGCATATTTTAGTGAGAAGTTGAGTGGGGAAGCCTTAAACTACCCGACTTACGATAAGGAGCTATATGCCTTGGTTCGAGCTTTAGAGACATGGCAGCATTATCTTTGGCCTAAGAAGTTTGTGATTCACACGGATCATGAATCGTTGAAGTACTTGAAGGGACAACACAAGCTGAACAAGAGGAATGCCCGATAGATGGATTTCATTGAGAAATTTCCTTATGTCATCAAATACAAGCAAGGTAAAGAGACCATTGTAGCTGATGCACTGTCTCGAATGTATACCTTAATCTTTACTCTTAATGTTAAGTTACTTGGTTTCGAACAAATTAGGGAGTTGTACATTCAAGATGCTGATTTTTGTACTGTTTATCAAGCATGTGAAAAGGGTGCATTTGATAAGTTCTATAGGCATGAGGGATTCTTGTTTAGGGAAGATAAACTTTGCATTCCTATGTGTTCTATACGTGAATTACTTGTGCTTGAATCGAATGGGGGAGGTCTTATGGGTCATTTTGGTTTCAAAAATACATTACACATGCTGAAGGAACACTTGTATTGGCCACACATGAAGAGAGATGTCGAGAGAATTTGTGGTAGGTGTGTTACATGTTGTCAAGCTAAGTCTCGAGTACAGCCCCATGGTTTATACACACCATTGCCTATTCCCAATGAACCGTGGATTGATATTTCTATGGATTTTGTGTTAGGTTTGCCTAGGTCAAAGCATGGCAGGGATTCGATCTTTGTTGTCGTTGATAGATTTTCTAAAATGGCACATTTTATACCATGCCACAAAACAGATGATGCGTCGCATGTTGCTGATTTGTTCTTTAAAGAAGTTGTTAGATTGCATGGCATGCCTAGGAACAAAATTATTATTTTCTTGTGGTGTAAGCTAGGAACAAAATTATTATTTTCTACTTCTTGTCACCCATAAACAGATGGTCAAACTGAAGTAGTAAATAGGACTTTATCTGCCTTGTTGAGGGCTATTATCAAGAAAAACATTATAACATGGGAAGAGTGTTTACCACATGTTGAGTTTGCATATAATCGAGCTGTTAATTCTGCTACTAAGTTTTCACCATTTGAAATTGTTTATGGTTTTAATCCTTTAACTCCAATGGATTTAACTCCACTACCCTTATCTGAGCGTGTAACTTGGATGGAAAGAAAAATGTTGAACTTGTGAAGCAGATTCATGAAAAAGCATGGCTCAATATGGAGAGGAGAACAGAACAATATACAAAGCAAGCGAACAAGGGACGTCGCAAGTTGGTTTTTGAACCTGGAGATTGGGTTTGGCTACACATGAGAAAAGAACGATTTCCAGTACAAAGGCGTTCTAAGTTGCTGCCGAGAGGAGATGGTCCTTTTTAAGTTCTCGAGCGAGTGAATGATAATGCATATAAGCTGGACTTGCCAGGTGACTGACTATAATGTTAGTACCATCTTCAATGTTGCTAATTTGAGTATTTTGACGTAGGTGATGATTTAAGGACAAATCCTTTTCAAGAGGAGGGGAATAATGGAGGTTCAACCAACGGTTGGCAAGATGATCCTATCCAAGTCCCAACCGGACCAGCAACGAGGAGCCGAACTAAGAAATTCAAGGAGAAACTTGCTGCATTGATCCAAAATGTCTTAACTAAGAAAGCTTCTTTCAAGGGTGATAAACAAGGGTGGATTATGCATATTCAAGTGGCGGAGTCACCGGACAAGTGTGGGAACCATCCGGGCTAAAGATCTGTCCTAGTTCAGCAAATAAGTGCAAGCAGGATGAAGACCAAAGCCCACCCTACCTTAAATACGTGGGTTCATCTCTAATCATCTCATATTAGTTTGTTTATGGGCCTATTATACTAAGGCCCTCTTTAATTTCGTTGCTCACTTGTTTAGAGCCTTTATTAAGTTGATTTAGGGTTTTATTTTTCTTTCTTGAAGACTATGTTTTGGGGGCTATATATATGCCTTCTTATTCATGTGAAAGACAGTTTTTGATCATTAATTACATTGATAGATTATTCTCTCTAGTTCTGTAAGAACTCTTCGAACATATCGAAGGATTCCGTATGTTCACCCGACTTATCAATCAATCTTCCACAATTGATTGTGGCGTCTTCACATACCACGGTTCTTGTGTCTTTATAGACAACGGGTCGCGGTTCCACCCCCCTTTTGATTCTTTCTTTTGGACGGTCCATGAGTTGATAAACGAAGTATTGTTATTGGGTCTCGTCACATGGTTGGCGTGGTTCATATCACTTTTGCGTGAGTACTTTTGTGCATGCTTTTGTACTTTTACTTATGTGCGTATCTTTTCTAGAGAATGTTTTTGTGCATGTTTCGTGAAGCACATTCATTTCCTCGAACTATAGTACGTATTTTCATGATCGCATTTGGAATCCAATTTTGACCATGTTCGAGTCTGAATTTGGAAATTTAACGTTAGACAGGAGTTGTAGCCAACTCAATTAACATTCTAATGCACCCTGAACAAGTTGATTTGGAGTCTTGATGAGAAAGTTATGCCTGACTTCGTGGATACTACCGAAGATGTTGATGGATCCTCTTTTCTAATTTGATTTTATTTTCCTAATTTCAACTCTTTTCTTACTCTTTGATCATTTTTGCATCATGGATACCTAATTATCGATTTGTACCTATATGATATTAAGTCCGCCAATTCAAATAGAAATATAAAATAATTTAAAAAAACCAACGTAAACGTAAACGTGGAGTGTTATTTCTATAGTCCACTATATCTTTTGTATCTAGTGTTTTTGTTGTTGTTTGGTTTTGCGTATTAAAGTCCTAGTGTTGTAGTTCGTGTTTTTAAGATCGTTGTTGCGAATGCACTTTTGTCCAGTTGAGCGAGTGTGATTGTGGATGTTTGTTGATTTGTATTAATGTCCTTGGATTGTAGTTTGTGTTTTCATGATCCTTTTTGCGAATGAACTTTTGCGTGAGTACTTTTCTGCATGCATATGTACTTTTAAATATGTGTGTATCTTTTCTAGCGAATGTTTTTGTGCACGTTTCTTGATGCACATTCTTGTCCTCGAACTGTAGCACGTGTTTTCATGATTGCTATTGGAATCCTATTTTGAAAATGTTCGAGTTCTAATTTGGAAATTTGGCGTTAGACAAAAATTGTAGCCAGCTAAAATAGCTTTCTTAAGCAGCCGGAACCAGTTGATTTGGAGTCCGGATTAGAAACTTATGCTCGACTTTGTGGACACTACGGAAGATGTAGACGGATCCTCTCTTTTAATTTGATTTTATTTTCCTAATTGCAATTCTTTTCTTACTCTTTGATCATTTTAGCTTCCTGGACACCTAAATCCACCAATTAAAACGGAAATATAAATTAATCCAAAAAAAAATCAATGTAAACGTAAACGTAGAGTGTTATTCTACATTCCACTATGTCTTTGTATCTAGCGTTTTGCTGGTTGATTGGTAATGCGTATTAAAGTCCTAGTGTTGTAGTTCGTGTTTTTAAGATCGTTGTTGCGAATGCACTTTTGCGGATGTTTTTTTACATGTACATTTGTGTATGTCCAGTTGAGAAAGTGTGTTTGTCGATGTTTGTTGATTTGTATTAATGTCCTTGGATTGTAGTTTGTGTTTTCATGATCCTTTTTGCGAATGCACTTTTACTTATGTGTGTATCTTTTCTAGCGAGTGTTTTTGTGCATGTTTCTTGATGCACATTCATGTCCTCGAACTGTAGCACGTATTTTCATGATTGCTTTTGGACTCCAATTTTTGCCCATGTTCGAGTCCGAGTATGGAAATTTGACGTTAGACAGGAATTGTAACCAGCTGGAATAGCTGTCTAATGCCGCCAAAACCAGTTCATTTGGAGTCCGGATGAGTAAGTTATGCTCGACTTAGTGGACACTACCAAAGATGTTCAGGAATTCTCTTCTCTAATTTGATTTTATTTTCCTAGTTGCAACTCTTTTCTTATTCTTTGATAATTTTTGCTTCATGGACACCTTATTTTCTATTTGTACCTATAAGATATTAAATCCACCAATTAAAACAGAAATATAAAATAATCCAAAAAAAATCCACGTAAACGTAAACGTAGAGTGTTATTTCTACACTCCACTGTATCTTTTGTATCTAGTGTTTTTGATGTGGTTTGGTTATGCGTATTAAAGTCCTAGTGTTGTAGTTCGTGTTTTTAAGAACGTTGCTGGGAATGCACTTTTGTGATGTTTTTTTACATGTACGTTTGTGCATGTCCATTTGAGCGAGTGTGTTTGTGCATGTTTTTTGATTTGTATTAATGTCATAGGATTGTAGTTTGTGTTTTCATGATTCTTTTTGCGAATGCACTTTTGCGTGAGTACTTTTGTGCATGCTTATGTACTTTTACTTATGTGTGTATATTTTCTAGCGAGTGTGATAGGAACCCCGTATAACTTGTTACGAGACCCTTATACCCTACGCGGAAGCAAGATCGAAAACATCCAAAAATAACGATTCAAAGGGTGGAACCGCGACCCGTTGTCTATAAAGAGGCAAGAACCTTGGTATGTGAAGACGCCACAATCGATTGTGAAAGATCGATTGATAAGTCGGGTGAACAAACGGAATCCACCGATATGTTCGAAGAGTTCTTAAAGAACCAAAGAGAATATTCTCAATTAAATCATCAAAATTCGTCCCCTAAAATAAGCCAACACTACAACACAAAGCGTCATCTATAGCGCTCAAAAAATGCTATTGTAGGCTATTATAGCGCTTTTACAAACGCTATGTCCGCCGGAGCTATAATAGACCCCGACCCTTCTACAGCGTTTTATAAACGCTATCATAGGACATCTTTTGATAGCGTTTGTGTTGCGCTATTATCCATTATATTGTAGCACTTTATCATTGCCATGTATTGTATTTGCAGCACTTTATAAACGCTATGTAATTGTATTTTGTAGCATTTTTTCATATGCTATTCTTTGAACATTTATTACATTCGCTAGACTCCATATTTAAATTAATTTTAGTTTTGCCACTGCTTTGACTAGTTGCATACCATGAAAATTATTCTATATCTATTGTTGCAAAATAGTAATTAACATACTTCAACTTAATAACAACAATAAATATATAATACTACTTTTATACAGCTCCAACCAATAATATAACAAAATAAAAAAATATCCCATAAGATTTTATTAT